TCCAAAATGTAACGTCGTGTACTGAATTTGATATTGTTAAAATACAGATAAGTGGGTCTCTTGCAAGGAGGGCGATCAGGGAGCTAATGGCGAAAGGTTTAATCAGGATGGTCGCTGCTCACTCAAGCCAGCAGATCTACACTCGTGCCACCAACACCTAAACCAATTGACTGGTCAATGGTTTGGTTCTTGAATGTCATCTCGGTTTTTGCCTTTTTGATGTATACATTAATCATCAGAGCTCTTATAGTTATTTGTTTTGGGTTTTTCTTTACTCTTTTGTACTCAAGAAACTCTTTAGAATGCTGTGTTTGAGATATTATGCCTACTTAATTCCGAGTCATTTTCTTTTCTTTTTTTGTTGCAGTGTTCACATTTTGTTTTATCAAAAATTTACAATCCGTTAAAATAAAATTTGTTCAATCTACTTGAGTAAATGAGTTGGATTTATTTGGCTGATCAACTCTGCGTCCACACTTTACTCGTAGCTGGGATCGTACCGTGGGATATTTCGTGTTGTAAGTAAGAATTGATGTATTACATTTACATTGTATATGAGAAGAAAAAAGTTTCACTAATTGTCATTAGTAAGGAGTTTTGTATGTTGGCCAAAAAAGCACTTTTAAGGGACTTTTGAGTCATACAAATGGGGTTTTGTGACACTTGTGCGGCCGCAAATTTTCTTAATTAATCAAAAGAAAAAGAATACCTGGCTATATTCTACTAGCTTAAGCATCAATCAAAACTTCACTAAAAAACGTCACTATCTCACTAGTCATGACATAACACATGAAGGCTGTTTTAGATATATTTTTTTTGTACCTTTCTATAAAACCCTAACCGTAGAAAATCATCAATTTGTTTCTCTATAAGTGTACAAAATAAACAGTTTAAATAATAACTAATCAAACCATGTTGTAATCTAATGATTTATAGTAGTGATCAAAATTAAAAGTTAAGCTAAACAATATGTGTTTGTGTGAATTGTTGTAAATCAAAGGTTAAACTAATTCATGTGCTCGTGTCATGTATAATTTTTTACCAATTCAGTGATTTTTCATTAAACAGCAGAAATCTACTAATGTGAATAAGAACCATCCGTTATAAATATTTAATAATCAGAATAAAGATTGAAAATTTCTCTTTATTAAGTCCTAGTCCTAGTGAGTGTAATCAAAGAGAGGAGAGACAAATCAAAAGCACTAAATTTAAAAATAGAAAAAAGAAGAGAGAAAATCAGCTTACTTTCTCGTGGGGAGATCACAAGACAAAACCAGAAAAAGTAACAGCTTCCTCCGTCAACCACGCACTTCACTGGTTTCAGACTTCTTCTCGTTTCTTTCTTCGATTTCAAACGAAGAACATATCAATCAAAGAGATTACCCAGAAGAAGAAAAAACTTAACTTTTTCTGGTTAGTGAATACTCTGCTTTTTTTTTTTTTATGTTTGTATTCATAAATGCGTTTAAATTTCTAATTTTTCCTTATATGTTTGATTTTGTTCTGGAACTTTGTTTGTTAGATCTTCTATCTGGATCGTTGTTTTTAGTCTCTGAACATGAAAAAGTTTTCGTCTTTCAATTGCCATTATCGATTTTGCTTTCTTTAGGTCTTTAAACAAAGTGCATTAAGATGTTTTTTTCCCCTGAAAATCAGTTTTTGCCGGAAAATTATATTCTTTTGTGGTGTTTTCATTACGCTTAATGGTGAAAAATTGAAAATTTATAACTAAAATACTTTAATGTTCATACTTATTCGATCATAGGAAGATGAGATACGATCAATCAATCTTCCGATGAAGCTCATTATGATTCAAACTATTTTTTAATATTGTACTATTATGAAATTCAATTTGTTGTCTAAACTCTGTTTAATTACGGAGATTAGATTGTGTTGAAACTTGAAGAGTGTTGTGTTTTGAGAATATGAGATTTCGAGAATTTTAGGGGATCTGTGTTTGTGAATCATCTGGGTTTGTGGAAAGTTCGTAGCTTTCGAGGATTTATCTATTGGGTACTCACAAGAAATGTTCTTTCTTCTTATTACACAATTTTCTTTGGTCGGTTTCACTTTGACACTTTGCTTAGATTTGAACAATGGGTTTTGGATTATTCTATTACTATTCTGAATATTATAAGTAAGTAATAGACACTGAAACGCTTTGTGTGTTATTCACTTTACTTGAAGCTTTTATTATTCTTCTGAGCCAAAATCGTCTCTAATAGCTATTAACTTTCCGAGGTTTCTCTTGTTTGTTGCAGCTAAAAAGATGGATTCTTCTTACTACTTTGCCTTGGGGACAAGCACTTCTATTTTGCCAAAACTCAGTTTTCAGAATGTAGACAAGAGATTTTGGGGTGAGAAGATCAACAATAATGGTTTCTTTAAGCGTTTTGCTTCGGATTCGGGATCCAAGAAGCTTGGGAATCGGAAGTTCAACCACAGTTTTGTTTACGCTGTTGCCACTTCAAAGAATCCAAAAGAGACTATGGTAGGTTGATCTGATTACTCTTTTCTCTTTTGCTTAAAATGACAATAGACTTCGTATCGATCAGATTCATCGGTACCTAAAACAACAGTCTTTAGAGTTGCTTAATCGATCCCTTTCATGTCCTGCAAAAGTTCAGAGGTCTTGATTCTGTTTGCTGCTTTGGATTTTGCAGACAGTAAATCATTCGATGTTCGAGAGAAGGAAGGCAGACCCAAAAAACGTGGCTGCAATCATTCTAGGAGGTGGCAATGGAGCTCAACTCTTCCCTCTTACAAAGAGAACCGCGACACCAGCTGTAAGTATTCATCTTTCTTCCGTTTCTCTTTCGGAGAAAAACAAAATTGTAAATGACATTCATGGAGATTAGAACTTCAAGGAATATATAAGATAATATTTTGTGTAATGAAGATTCTTATGTCTCAAAATTATTCAGGTTCCTTTGGGTGGATGTTACAGGCTGATCGATATACCGATGAGTAACTGCATTAACAGTTGCATAAACAAGATCTTCGTGCTTACACAGTTCAACTCGGCTTCCCTCAATCGGCATTTAGCACGTACTTATTTTGGGAATGGCATTAACTTTGGAGGTGGTTTCGTAGAGGTTATAAACACTAAAACAATAAACAACTTCAGGTTTCTTGATTTTTCGACAAAAAAGCAAAAGTAAATCTTATTGAACAGGTCCTTGCTGCTACACAAACACCCGGGGAAGCAGGAAAGAAGTGGTTTCAAGGAACAGCAGATGCTGTTAGAAAATTCCTCTGGGTGTTTGAGGTATGAACTTATTTTCACTTTTACTGCTTTATCAATGTTTAAGTCTGTTCCTTTGTGATCTTTGAAGTGGTCTAAAAACTGTTGATGTCTCTTAAATAGGATGCCAAGAACAGGAACATTGAGAACATACTCATTTTGTCTGGAGATCATCTCTATAGAATGAACTACATGGACTTCGTTCAGGTATTATCTAAATCTGAACAGGTCTGTTCGTCATCATCTTAAAACCTCTTTATAGTTTCTTTAACTCCATGCGTTGGAACAGTCTCATGTAGATAGTAATGCGGAAATCACTCTTTCGTGCGCACCAGTCAGTGAAAGGTTAGTATGAGAAACATTGGTTCTTAAGGCCATACTTTTGTGAACTCTTTTACGCCTTTTGTATGAGAAACATTGGTTCTTAAAGCCATACTTTTGTGTACTCTTTAGCCGTGCATCGAATTTTGGTCTAGTGAAGATTGATCGAGGTGGGCGTGTAATCCAATTCTCTGAGAAACCAACAGGAGTCGATCTGAAATCAATGGTATGGTTTTGTCTAATTCTTAAAACAGATTATTAACTCATTTAAGTCGCAAAGCATTTAAAAAAAGGGAGAAAAAATTATGTTGTTTTTGACAGCAAACAGACACAACAATGCTTGGACTGTCTCATCAAGAAGCAAAAGATTCTCCATACATTGCATCAATGGGAGTTTATTGCTTCAAAACCGAAGCTTTGCTGAACCTTCTGACACAACGGTATCCGAGTTCCAATGACTTTGGATCTGAAATTATTCCTGCAGCTATAAGAGATCATAATGTTCAAGTAAGATTGTAGAAAACTCGCTGCTTCTTATTTTTTATCCGTTGAACCCAACGAATGATCAAACGATTTTGTATTTTCTTTGTCAGGGATATATCTTCCGAGATTACTGGGAGGATATCGGAACTATAAAGACATTCTATGAGGCTAATTTAGCTCTTGTTGAGGAAGTTAGAACTCAGAAACATTCTAAAATCTCTTACCTTATTATGATCTCTTGGATCCAATTCTCAACTTTTTGTTATTCTTCTGCAGAGACCAAAGTTTGAGTTCTATGATCCAGACACTCCGTTCTACACTTCTCCCCGGTTCCTCCCTCCAACCAAAACTGAGAAATGCCGTGTATGTATCTGCTTTTCTGAAGAGAAATCTCTTTCTTTGTGGCTGTTTTTCTTTGATTTTGATTTTATGGTTCCTCTTTGATGATTTTGTAGATGGTAGATTCGATAATCTCACACGGATGTTTCCTGCGAGAATGCAGCATCCAACGTTCCATCATTGGTGAACGGTCTCGTCTAGATTATGGAGTTGTGCTTCAGGTAAATCTTCGGTCTCTTTTATTTGATCTAAACCAATCGGAAGGATTTTACGATATGTTGTGATCAAAATGAGCTCGGTTTTTTCGTTTTTCGAAGGATACGTTGATGTTAGGTGCAGACTATTACCAAACTGAATCTGAGATTGCATCTCTATTAGCAGAAGGAAAGGTTCCAATTGGTATTGGTAAAGACACAAAGATCAGGTAAGTTTTGAAAAGGCAAACCCTCTTCAAACTTCAATTGAATTTGTCTGAAACAAAAAGAGTTTATTTTGTTCTTCTTCTGGTGATTGTGTAGGAAATGCATCATTGACAAGAACGCCAAGATCGGTAAAGATGTGATCATCATGAACAAAGGCGTAAGATTTTCTCGAGTTTTTCTTCTCCCTCAGGTTATTTTGAATTATTTCTGTGAAAAACAGATCCAAACTTTTAAAACATTTGTGGATGTTGTCAGGATGTTCAAGAAGCAGATAGGCCAGAGGAAGGATTCTATATTCGTTCTGGAATCACTGTGATAGTTGAAAAGGCGACCATTAAAGACGGTACTGTAATATGAATGAAGCTTGAAAGTTGGAATCTTTTAAGAGGCCAAAGCTACAATCTAGCCGGAGGTTGAAAAGAGAAAGCTTTGATCTCTTTTTTTCTTCTAGTAGTGTATGTATAATTTAGAAGGGCTCAAGTTTAGTTAATCTAATTATATAAGATATAGGAAATTCAGAACAATAAGAACACAGTGAGGTCTTTGGATGAGTCTCTTTACACTATTAAAAGAAAATAACCATATTATCTTGAGAAATTTTAAAAATGTAACTTTTGAAGTTTCATTTTTTAAAAATTTACTTTTTCAAAATGACACATTTTTTGAAACAAATATCATTTATATTTGATTTAACTATGTTGTATTAGAGTTTAGTTTTGAGGTTAAAAGAGTTTTAGGGGCCAAAACATT